TCAAAATTTAAAAAAAAAAAAAAAAAAATACATCTTGAAAATAGTTCTCGGACAAGCACTGAGCATACAGTGCTTATTAATTTACGTTGGGTAAGGGCAAACCTGTTATATAAAATTAACATCTCCCCAACGCAAAAAAAATACATCTCATGATTCCTTTTATACAGGTTTGGCAAAAACTTTCTGATGCGTCAGAGGTCATGGATATGCACAAAAATGTTGAAGGCTGTGCGATGGGTGATGAAAGCACCTATGCTGGTCTATCACACCTGACCATCAACACTGCATGTGGGGGTTTACAGACACAGAAAGCCCACTGATCACTAAAGCAAATCAGTTTATGAAAGCTGCTGTATCTGTCTGAAGGCAGTGTGAAGCCACATCTGGCTACTGACTCGTTATGTACCAGACTGATGCATTCATTCATAATGATGTCAAAAGTGATGACCACTTTGCTGATTCCTCATGGTAAGTCACAGGTCATAGGCTTGAACCTCTACAAGACAAAACATTTTGCAGGAGGTTCCAATCAATTCACTTCTGGACTTTCCGCTTCTTGCTGTCGCTCTGTGACTCCAGCTCGCTCTCGTAGGCATCCCGGATGATCTTGAAGGCCTCCTTGTTGGCGTAGGGAATGTTTGTGATGGGGTCCAGGTACATGGCCCGTTGCCGTGTGACCGGGCAGAGGGGTTTGGTGGGAGGGCGGCTCTTGGTCTTGGGGAAGCACTCCTTGAAGCTGGCCTCTTCGCTGAAGGTAATGAAGTTCCGTGAGCAGCGCTGGGTGGGTTGGAGCGGCTGTGTGTCATTTTGGCTGCAGAAGAAGGACACTATCATTAATAATGTAGTCAAGCCTGTCACAAGGCCAGACACCAGACCAGTTACGAGACAAGTCACGAGCCCGGTCACAACACCAGACACAAGGCTTTACACAAGACCAGATACACGACCAAACAGACCAGACACACGTCCTGCCACAAAACCAGTCACAAGAAACAGGGTACAAACAATGGCAAAATCTGGTACCTTGTGGCTTAAATCCATACTGGACGTTTTGTGTTGGTCTTGTTATAGTCTTGTGATGGTTTTGTGTTGGTCTTGTTATAGTCTTGTGATGGTTTTGTGTTGGTCTTGTTATAGTCTTGTGATGGTTTTGTGTTGGTCTTGTTATAGTCTTGTGATGGTTTTGTGTTGGTCTTGTTATAGTCTTGTGATGGTTTTGTGTTGGTCTTGTGCTTGTCTTATGTTCATTTTGTGATGGTCTTGTGATGGTCTTTTGCTGGTTTTGTTTTTTTAAAAAATTGTTGCAATGGAACACCAACTTTGACGAAGGAGCCTAGCCTATAACTATGGACAAAAACTACTTCTACTGTATAGCCAATGTTAGGACAATTACGTCTTTTCACAAAGACCAATTTTAATAATGGTACAGGACAAAATAAAAATCGTGACCAGTCAGTGTTTGGTTGTCGATTTGGGTCGCCGCCATGCCCCTGGCCAACAGCCCTGAGTTGCAAAATCTCTTCCCGAGTGTATTCTTGTTCTTGTGCCTAATCAGCTCTTTCAATGTCGCTTTCTTTGTCAAATGAATAATACAAACATCTGATCGCTCTCATGATCGGAAAAAGCATCAATGCTGGAATTACTGTCGCTTGAGTTTGACATGATTGCACACGCTAACGCTCCCACATGTACATTATGAACACGCCACTGCATAACAGTAAACAGTCGCCGGATAAAGGACTCCGTCCTATGATGTCACAAATCTTGGGAATTTTCTCAGACAACCTTCTGTTACCCGATGGCTGTTGTTTAGCTTTTGCTCCCAGAAGGGAGTGAAATAGGGTCGTGAAAACAATAATTTTAAAACATTTTCACGCATTTTGAAATTATGCAGATGTGTTTTCTTGTTATCTAGGCCTATATGTTTGTTTTCTGTGTTCATGCATATTTTACAAGAAATCTTCCCAGCACGGCCCATCCCCTTTAACTGAACGCAAGCAGGGCAATTCAAATTACAGATGTGGTCAGCAATTAGTACGAAAGAGGAAAAATGACACAGATGAAGATAGTAGTTGCGCACAGCAAGGTTGTGCAAAATAAGAGGCAACAGACAAGATTTACAGGTTTGCATGGTGGAAAGTCCACTTAGTTTTAAGATTTTAAGCTGCGCCATGTGGGTGGAGTTTTTGTGAGTTTTGTGTTGTTTTAAGGAGAACTACCTAACTTTCACATTCCACAAAATGTGCACTTTTTCCGGGAGCAAGGGTAGCTAACAATGTGAAAAAACTTTACGTTAAATTTTAGTGGCACACTTGCATGGGACAAAATAAACGTTAACTTATCGTTATTCGTAAATGTGTCATTATTGCAAAAACCTGGTTCTGTCAGATTTGTATAAAAATGCTACTGAAAATGGTTTCTTAAAATAAACTCAATGAGCTCCACTCAGTGTTTGATTTGCCTCCCCTACATTCTGCCATCTTGGCCAACAAACATAGCATCAACAGCAGGCCTATTACGAATCCAGCCAATCAAACTGAGGAGTCTGCGAGTATGACTTCCTACCTTTCTACAGCATTCTCTTCTCCGGGACTTCTACTCTTGGGGACTTTATCCTTGACAACATCTGGCATTGTCATGGAGTGGAAGCGGATGAACGGCCCTTTGAAGGCCTTCTTGTGAAACTTGGTCTTTTTCTTTTCAGCTTCAAGTTTGTTGTACATTTCTGAGGGGGTTAAAAAAGAAAATGTACTCATTACCAGCATGCAGTTGAACAATGCACCTGTTTTTTCCAAATTTTCAGAACTTTGAGAACCCATTTGAGGAGCCAACTTCTTAGTAGATCTCACTATTAAGTTTAGGTGCTCTCCCTACTCGTACAATTTGGAAAAAAACGGGCATGCTGAAGGTCCTTCCATGTAATGGCAATTGTATGAAAAATGACTTGGCTCTTCCGGGAAGTATTTGGAAAAAAGTGGGTTTTTCCTCCATTTAGGCTGTGTCTTTTCCAAAAAATTGAATGCTCTAAAATGGAAAGGGGCTAACACAAGGGAAAGACTGAAACACTAATATACACATTTCTATGGGTGGGATTTGGACCCAGGCCGGCAAAAGTGAAATGCCACGAAAGCACTGTCGCTGAATGCCTTTACCATACAACATCTATAAGATCACTGCATTTTTAACCTTTACTCTTCTGCAAAAATGGGCTACAAACTCTGCTAAACACAACATACAACAGTTGTCACAAAGAGAAGGAAGCCTGCTTAAAGTTACAAGATCCAACACATCAACTATTTTAAGGCAAAAGAGCCTGTGAGTCCAAGCCTGCCAGCCAAGATATGACAATGTTACTAATAGGTGGTGCTTCCGAAGTCTCCAGATTAGTGATCAGTTCTGTTGTTGTTGACTGTCCAATGCAAAATGGAACCCACAACTTTGTGCACCTGCTGCACGATCACATGATCAGCTCCAAGTCGAGGTAAATAAATACTCACGTAATGATATCAGGTTCTTCTCCTCTGTCAACGCTGCCTCCTCAAGCAGCTCTTCCTGTGTCAATCTCCGCACCTCAGGCTTGTAGCGATTGGCAATCGATAAGCGATTGATTTCTGCACGCTCCTCCCTTTCCTTCAACCGGATCTGAAACTCAGTGCCCTTCAGAACGGTTGACCTTCGGCTTGACTTACGCACTGCAAATTGTTTTTCAAAGAAAGGGGGCAGGGATGGATGAAAGGAGTGAAGAGATGGAGGCCACTGCTCATCAAACATCCTACTCCAAGTTATCAAACAGATCTTTAGTCTCGGTATTTGAAAAGAAAGGACCCTATCACGACCAACATTAACCAGTTTGTGCTGGAGGATGTGGAAACTGTAGCGCTACATGTATATATATAAGAAAACCAGAGCACTGACTCATGTCTCGAAATTTTGCACAGATTTTGTACAGGTATTTGTACGCGCAATGCGTAAATGAACGTTTCATTGTGCTCTGCATAAACAACGGAAGCGTGAGCACGTATGCACTGCAGATAATTTTACCACAACCTTTTTAAGTTAGATTGTAATGGTACTCGACACATGCTGTGTCCAGAGTACGTAATTTGATATTCATTGTATCTGATTTTGAATAGCATAAGCATATAGATGGATTCAAAATGTCTCCACAACAGGACGGCGTCAAATTTTCTCTGCGCGGAGGATTAGAAGTTAGCGCTCTATGGTGTAAAATTTATGACCATCTATATACATACAAATAACTGACAGAGTGAACCACTGTCAGTACTCGGAATCTCCTCTGGCGGATGGGCATATGCTAATGTCCATTTATTTTGTATACACACAAACAGAAAGTCCAAGAAGTCTGTGGAAGCAGACCGTGTGCTTGAACTTCAACTTGGCCTGTTGTGATGGCAAATGTTGAGCTGTGGCAGACCAACTGAGTATATAGGAGTGTTGCAAAATATAAGGAAAGAAAAACTGTACAAATGACTCTAACGAGTCAATATTGGCAGTGCGTTATTGGATGGTACATTTTGCCTTAAACAAAAATTAAAATTTCAGCTAATATAATCCAATCCACAAGGGGTTATGGAGTTGCATCTCAGGTACAGAATTGCACCCAAACTAAGTTCAACAGATCAAATTCAACGTTAGTGTAGGAAGGGGAATGGGTTGTGCAAATCTTGCACTGAACTCACAGCTGCCTTCATCTTTGGCATTTGACTCGGTTTGGGATGCCGCAGGGGGCGGCTTGGTTGCTTTCTCTTTTTCCTTGGGCTTGGAAGTGGTGACACTTGGACGCGGTTGGCTGGGTTTCTTGGCGGTGGGCTTTGTGACAGGTTCCTGTTTTAAATACACAACAATCAGTAGTGTTTACTACTGCCATTGTAACTGTTCTTGACTTTAGTTTGGGTTGAAATTGACTCAGCCTTGATGACCATTTGTAAACATATGCATGGGGAAACCATTTGTTATGGTACTCAATGGAGAAAAAGTCCAGAGTTTGAGAACACACCACTGACCAGACACAAGTGGGATTCCAACCATCTTTCTGGCTCCCCATACACACCTTGTATGCTTTGGTAACGGTTCGTCGCTGTCTCTTCTTCTCGTTGCCCTCATCCTCGCTGACCGGTTCGTCATCCTCAGAATCGCTGATGTCGCTGTCGGTGGCGTCCGATTCACTTTCTTCACTGGAATATTCCTCATCTCCAGATTGCTATAAAAAATTTGTTTATCGTCATAAATGCACTGTTGACTGGTTGATAAACAAAGTTTTCTTCAGAATATTATTTACAAGTTTTATTCTTTTGCTCACTACAGCACCGGCCTACTCTAAGGAGCATTGTTGAGCAACTGGTCCGTCTTTACTTTGTTCTCATCCTTGCGCTGTGAAAGCATTTCAAGCATGAAAATATTCAAACTTTCCAGCAAATTATTCACAACTCCAAACCCTGCTGAATGCAGCATAATGCAACGGCGTGCAAGGTGGTAAGCAGGACTTTGTGCTGGGCAGTAAACAGAAGCATTATCAGTTGCCAATTATGAACCAACCAGAACTGGTCACTTTGGATAAAAAACAAGAAATTGATCCCTTCAAAGTGCATCTAACAAATTATCATTTCCCCAATTGACATGTCCTGATGTATATTTTTAAAATCTTGTCCCATTTGAGCACTGCATTACATCACTGGAGCTACGGAAATAAAAAAAAAAGGCCCTAGAAACACTGCAGAGCATCAGAGTGTACAGCAATGCTACTTTAACTGTACAATTAATGTCCACACAAACATGCCATGTGCTTGAGTGCGTGGAAATGGCATATTCTAACAGTCACTAGTCCTGTGTACTCAGTGCTGTCTACATCATACAGGTAGATGTATGAGCCTGTGCGTGCTGGCTGTGAGTTTTCACCAAAGGACCATTAATGCTGCATAAAATATGCAACTCTAGATTCCACACGGAGCAGAAAATAGTCGTGACCAGCTATGCAAAAATGGGTCACATATCACCTGAGCCACTTTTGAGTTTAAAGGCCTTTGAAAGAATCTTGCACTGTGTTTACACACTAGGAATCTTCTTAAATCCTCCGGTTTAACATCTCCACAACATCCAATTTTGTCATACCAAACTGAATGATACATGAAACCCAAAAGCTTAAATGCCTCAATCCAACACAAACTGAAACTCAAAAAGTGGCTCTGATGACTTGAGACTCATTTTTGCAGAGTGGGTCATGACTACCTTATGGGGGATTGCTTGAGCATGCTCCATCAAACGGCGTATAAATACATGTACACTGTACGAGTCTGCTCGGGCCGTGACTGGGCTAAGGGGACAATTTCTTTGGTAATAGGAAAGTTAAGACTGAGTCTTGGAGATCAAAGTTCATTCCCATCCCATATAAAACGTTTTGGTCCCTAAACCGTGTATGATTCAACATATGTGTTGCTCCCACAACCTTAGAAGAAATATGTGTGCATAGTGCAGTGTGTACTTAAACCAAAGGGTGATCAGAAGGGACATTTGTTGATGCACTGAGCTCACAGAGCACCACCCACCTCTTCAAATCCACCGTAGGTCGTAGCGTAGAACTCGTCTTGCTCCTCCTCTTGCAACATCCGAGACATGCGGTTGCCCGCATTGGCTCTCTTCTCCCTCGTCAGGGCAAGGGCCATGGTGAAGAGTCAAGATTTCCTGAGTTCAAAAGAAGTGGCCAGACCACACAAGTATTTTCCTGAAAAGAGAATTAAAAAACATATGCGCTGTGAATTTAAAGAGTAATTTCAATTAATGTCCCAAGAAATGTTTATGTCGTAGGAAAAGTCACCATAGAGCAAGACAAGGGAATGTACATGTACCGCAGATCAGGCTATATCGGCAGGGGAAAAGATTTGAAACATTTTTTCAAGGAGAAACACTACAAATGCATATTGACCTCACTAAATTACCCAAGTCCAAGCAAATGACAGCATCTTTGTAATGTTCGACTAAACCATTACTTCAAATGTTAACAAGGCATAGAAAAAACTCAACCTTGGTGAACATTGTCCATGGTGTTTGTAAGACAAGCTTCAAGCAATCATGGCAATGGTTATTAACAGTGTGCAGAACTGTTATCTGATAATTCATTAGCATTTCAACCCTTTCTTGGTATTAAAGGCAAATTCCAGAAGCACAAAGGTAGGAAATAATGAAAACACCAACTCCATTCATAAGACTAGTTGAGGTATGTTAGACACTACTGGATGGTGCTACTGGGTTTGAGTATTTGTTGGAGAGAATTCTGCACAAGGATGCCACTTGATCAACTCTGAATGTGTACCTCAATATTTTCACTGCTGTTGTTTTTCTTGACATTTTATTGCTTTCAGCTGGCTAGTACCCATTTATGAAATTCTTTCCAAAATCTGTTACGTTAAATGATATACAAAATTCTTCCGGGAAATATGGCCAAGAGGTGACAAATTTCATCCGAACTACATGTAACATTAACGACAGGAGTCATCGCTTTAAAATATCCAAGACTAGATCCCAGTTGGATGTGAGAACATTTTCTTTTGTACATCGATCAGTTTACCTGGGTTGGTGGTATTTGCACCTCTACTGCATACACACAATCAGACTGATGATCTGATGAACATGATGAAAGTGACCCCTAAAGGACTACAATCTGAAGGTTTCAAGTCAACTCGGATCCAAACCAACTGGCACTCTTTCAAACTTGGACCCATGCCATGAAAAACACTGACTCCATTCCAATCAGAAGAGGACCTATATCTGTATTGCATGTACGTGTAAGTTTACCCCAAATTTACCCACTTCAAATAGCACCCTCCTATGGTGCTTCAAAAATCGGGATCATGCATGCTAGTCTTTTCCTTCCCTCATCATGGTCCAAGCGCGAATTGCCTTTTTGAATAATTTGATTTCAGGTGATGGACAGCCTTCCCCCCAGAACTGTCATGACTGGCTGTGGTTCGTAATACACAGCACTGTTCGTGGGAGCATGACAGCATGGACGGATGCATGACGACAGTGAACCCCATTTCTGATTGTCAGTTTCAATACAGAAATTGGTAAAAAATAGTTGGGCCAGCCCAACTGCAGCACTACAGTTGGGACAGAAGTTATAGTTGGGGCGTAAGCCTAACATCAGAAACCATAGGCATATGATCCCCGTCATGCCCGTGCCTGTTCTGAGGGTCATGGCATGCATGGGCCGGGGATAGGGACAGCTGGCCACCTCGACGTTGCGACCGGCATGCATGACCGGGCCTAGCTTGCTTTCGAAAAGCTGAACAAGTGCACTTGCCTACATACAGCCTAGCCATGAATTCACTTCACTTCAATTGCATTCATGACGTTCCGATTACCAGTGCCCTTTACATAATTACTTACCGTCCCACAACAACTGAAATCACTTTCGGTGCTAGACTATGGTTCGCGTTCAATGAATGGTACAATGAAACAGCGCCTCCAACAGCCGTATCCAATATCCGCACATTACTTTGCAGGAATCCCTCCCAGTCCTGAAGTACGGAGCTCTGAACGTGCCATCCGATTTGTTGAGATCCTGACATGTTTTTCTCGGAATAACGACATAATAAAGGCAAAATGTCAACATCCTGAGATAATTCATTATAGGATGACGACATCGTAGCAGTTGGACGATGGCATCCTCAGATAATGACGATAATCATTAGCTCAGGATGTCTGCATCCACATATTAAGTGTCATGTCTTCTTAACCACTTGTAACAGGCAGTGAGACACCATCTAAATAATATCATGTATGGCAACAGGTCAATGCTTTGAAATCTCTACCATCTCAGGCCACGTGTTTTCGAGGTGGTTTGTCAAGGTAGCCACTGATAAATAATGTCATCATATCACTTTTACGATGTTGTCATCCCCTGATAAATTAACCCATTATGTCGTCATCCAACTTTTAAGATATCGTCATCGCATGATAAATTATCGCGGGATGTTGTCATTTCCATCTCAGGATGTCTTCATCCCACGATGAAACATCTCATGGTCTCGCCATAGTGTCATCATCCTGAGATAAAATGTCAGGATCTCGACAAGTCGGATGGCACTTCCAGAGCTCCGTATTACGCCATACCTAAATGTTGGCATATTCTATTATCCAATCCCTAGTAAGACTACCACAAGTTTAATAAACCTGCCGTTGTGCGTGCAGCCAATCACATCACTCAAAAAATTGAGACATTCCTATCCCAACAAAGACTGCAGCCACGTCGAACCTAGCGCTGGAAACTGGAGTACCTACTTACAAATTTTACTCTTTTGTTAGCGCACAATTTGTTTTTGTAAGTCATATTTGTGATCAGTAGAATAAAGATAAATGATAGACTGGGGTTTTGTTAATTTGGTATGGAATTACAGCTCTCCAAACCCCAGATTCTACCTAACGTTGGGCTAGACGGGGCAGACATGACGGACAAGTTGGAGCATGGAGGAATGCTGTTTTCTAGGCCTACAATGGTTTAGCGTCAACGAGCGTCATCAAAGCGTCAATAAGTTATTCAAGCAAATTTATGCAAAGATTTTTATTTACGATGTTAATTAGGCTCCTACACATCAAATTCAATGTATCTTATCTATCTGAAATGACTGTTGTTACTATTATATTAATGTTAGGGTTGAAATTTGAATTACAAAGTCTTTTTGTCAGTTTGTGCAGTCTAACGGGCCACCATCTTGCACACAGACGTACATAAAAATAATGTGGACGCGCAATGCCCTTAATCTGCTTATAGAGATCATTGAATCCACTAGTGGCCATTTTACCGAGCCGAATAGTAAGTTTGCCCGGCAATGCCTGCCTTTAGTACTCCCTGGCATCAATGCTAAGCGAGCCAGTCCACGCATTTGTTTTTGGCTCGGTAATACGGCCGCTGGTTGGCTTCTATTTCATACAGAAGCATTGCAATTCCAGGGTTTTTTATACGTCCGTGGGACGGCAGAGGAAAGAAAGATGGCGACCCTCATACATGTACATCGCAAAAATTTTTTGTTTTCCTGTGAGAAACTGGAAGCAGATTTGGTGTTTCTTTTATACAGGGCAATTGTTAGAGTCTCTAAAATATAATAAAAGCACTTTTAAATCTGTAGAGGGTATTTTCAAGTTGTTGACGCTTTGTTAACACAACTTGTGTGTGTTGACGCTTGTTGACGCTAAATAGCATGACCGGACTTGGACCCTCAATTTCTCTTTTTAACATTTGGACATTTGTGGGAGCGGGGCAGATGTCGGACCCCACAGTTCTTGGGGAGCTCATTACACACGGATTTTTGATTTTAAAGCTTCTTTATCAGCTAGTGTATACAATCATGGCAGTGTGGCATTTGAATTTATTGAACTTCAGGCATACATGTAGGCCTAAGCCTTATTGCAAATATTACATTGGGGATTTTGCACTATAGAAGCATTGCGAGAAGGAAAAGTACTCTTTTGCCCTCAGTATTGTTTGGTATTGTACTCCTCTTCTTCATGAGAGGGAGAGTACTTTACTCCCTAATAGATGGAGAAATTAAGTACCTGTATTATGCGAGTTAATCCTTTGCCCTTGTAAATAAACATGTAAACTACTTGTTATTTCTCTTCAAAAACTCAGTTATTAAAATAGCGCTTAGTGATAACCATGAACTCGTGACACCATAGACAAAATCACATGTCCATATCCGCCCGTGTATGGTGGCGCGTGTGAGGTTACTGCGGGCGGACACCATGTCGACTGGCTGCTGTGCGCACATGCCCGCCAGTGGCCATTCGGAAAATCACGATGCACTTCATTGCTGGGCAGTCAAATGCACTCACACTCATGATCTTTTCTAATAATGATGCCTAGTTTCTTGTAGATGTACTGGAAAGCCTCTGAAACGCCACTTGAAAATGTCCTTTTGTAGCACATTTTTTTGCAGAACTTTTATTCAACAAAAACCCTATCCATTCGTGCAAAAATCAGTGAAAACAGTAAAAAATAATTGTACTGCATCGTGTCTTTGGGGAGTCTGGTGACCGCGTTTTGTACACAAAAATGCATACAACGTGTGCGCAGTAGCCCATTTCGGTCTATAACACATTTCGCTTCCCATCTTTTTTGTTATGTCAGGATTTTCTGAATAATTTATCATGTTTATACGGAGCAGGGGGAAACCTGTAAGCAGATGAACATGAACAAATAGGTTTCAGTAGCATCTGCTGCAGAGTGGTGAATGCTTTTACCAAACTAATTTTATTGGTGCATTCTTTATGGCATACAGTTATATAATGTACTAGTGTTATGACTTGAGGTAATGGTCTTTATTTGACCACTCATGAAACAGCAATCAAGTCCTGGTGTGTGTGATGTTTGTTAGATAGCTGTTTCATGAGTAATCCTTTCAATATGATCTTTGGCAGAAACAATCCAAAGTTGATTTCTTGTCTTGAATGCTACCTGTCTGAGATTTGCACTTTTTAAACACTTTCTAAAGTGGTCTAAACAATGTTCAGATGTCACTGACAAATGTTTGTTTCTGTGTCTGAATTTCAATTTCTCAGGAGGACACCTTGGAATTGGCGCATCGAGGATTCCTGTTTCACTTGTCATGAATACTTCAATGCCTGTCCCAAAGATAGTGCTAAAAAGCACAACCAAACAAACTCTCAATGATCGGTGAGGGAAAAAACGTAAAAACCATTGCCGTTGTTAAAAAGAATGCTTTGCCAACCCAAATACCATACCGGTGTCTGGCAAGATATGTCTCCCAAAGGCAGAGCACAATCTGTGCCATATGGACAACTTTCTTATTTTGGTGGCACTGACACAAAACGCCTGTTCTGCCTTGAAGAAAGTGTGATTCTCTTCAGAAGACTGCACTGAGAAAATTTGCCGCCGTAGGCTGTTCATTCTTGCCTTAGGCTTAAACAATATTTGCTTTGCCATTTTTACATAGAGGTGCAGTGCATGTGCAGATTTGAGTTATCACACCAAAGAAGAATGGACGACTCTCACGTCGTCGTCATCTCTGTCACCCAAGGGCAATTTTTTTGGCACTGCAAGATTAAGAAAAAATTGGCAGTTGACTCAGGGGCTGCTGTTGTTCAGCAGAACTGTGAATTTGGTTGAAAGTAGATGTACGGGAGACATAAGCAATGAGCTAATGTACAAATGAGCTGAAAGAGTCTGGCATTGCTGTAGTAACAACAGCACTCCAGCAAAGGCAGCTCCCCAGTACAAGATTGTACAACAGTGAAATTCTGCCTTGAGAAAGCAGAATTATGCAAAACCGCAGCATGGCCCTGTCCATTGTGGTTGAATGTATGAGCTCATTTGAAACAAAAAGAGAGAAATTTCTTTCTCTACAGCAAATATTAACGGATATTAAAGGAAACAACTAACATAAGGCAGCTGTGGTCTCCAACAAAGAATGTGACATATGGAAAAGTAACAATAGTGATAATGTGTAACATTGAGAGATTTGAGATGCAAGAGTACATGTACATGTAGTTGTTTTCAATGAAGCGAGGGCAATGGTGTATTGTTCCATGGAGAGGATCGGTTCCGTGTCCCAGCCAGCAGTGCCCAATCACAGTCTGCCCCGTGTGCCTCCCGAAGGCCGGGGCCAGACTGTGAATGTAAGCGGTAATTCTGGCTGTCTGTCCTTAAGCATGCAGTCCTTGTTGTCCACAGTCCTAGCGATGACCGCCAGAGCATCAAAGGCTGGTAAGCGGCAGCAGGCTGATGACTGTCCATTTTGAGTGATGTCGGCACGCCTGATTGACCACTCACTCTTGGCGTTTCTTTCTCCTGTATATCTCTTGTCTGTTCTCTTCACTCACGAAAAAAAGCAACTGAATAGCGTATTCACAGATCGTTTTAGTTTACACTTTGTTTCTGTTACTGTGATTCAGCTTAGTTGGTCCTAGGAATTGATATTAATTTGTGAAAGTGGCAGAAAAATGGATGTTTTGACGACTCTTAAGTTTATGCAAGTACAGCAGCCAGTCGACATCCACTCTCCTCAAAATTCATCATCCTAAGTGCGTTCTATTTCTTGTTTTGGTGGATTTGCCTCAGAAACCACATTGAAAAAAAGTTTTTTTTGCTTGTGAGATGCTTGTGGGTTTACTGCAGTTTTTGTTAAACAGAACAATTGTTACATTTTTAAATTTTTTTTTTAACATTTTTGCCCAACTGTTTATAATTGCTGAAACATTTCAGCCTGTCCCTTTTCCACAGATGTCTTAGCAACAGAACTTAAAAACAATTCATAATGGCTAATAACTATCTTGAAATACACTAACACCTTTGATTTCAAATTCTGTTCCCCTCAAGTACTACTGAATACTGCAAATTCCAATTAAAAAGCTTTCAAATTAATTTTCCTTCTGTGTCTATACTCTGTGGCTTTGTCAATATGATGACACTTCTTTGTCATCCACACATGACCGCATCCTCTCGCATGAATCAAACTGTAGCCTTGAAGTGTTGGAGAAGAAAAGAGAAATATGCCACACTCTTGAAACCTATTCCCTCAACAACTTCCCACCAACCAACCCCCTCCTCCCCCCAAAGATTCACCAAGATCATCAAGAACCGCCCAGCAGTGACTGCTCAACAGCGGACGGAGACCATGCTGCAGCAGCAGCAGGTGTCTGCCGCTAACAGGCGGCTGGCCCTGCAGATGGAGAACCGGATGTCAGTCCAGGCTGCCTTGCAGCCTGCCAAGCAGGTACAGGCTGCTTTATGGAATATCCTGGAGTACCCATTTGACTTACCGTTGGTGTCAAGTAAACAGTTTATCCTTTCAACGGTCAGGATCCTAAAGCCACATCAAGTGTCTGTAAATGTTTCACAAGTCAAAATGTAGCAATTATATGTACATTGTTGATCTTGCAAGATGCTGCTAAGATTATTACTATAAAATAAGAGGTTTAAATCAATTATTCCTATGAGCTCGTCCATTTTAAACAGTAGTTCACTTGAAAATTCCACCCCAAGAGTGGCATCATGTAAGAGTAGGTATTTCTGAGGAATCGTTTCCACATGAAGACCCTAGAGAAACCAGCTGTGATGCAAATGATCCAAAATGTAATGCTTATTGACATTAATGTTTGAATGTCTGTGTTACGTTGCTGATGCATTGTCACCTCTCACCACAGTCACTGAAACAGCGCCTTGGACAACCAAACATCCGTGGTCGTCTGGGCACCCCAACTGGCCAGCAGGGACAACGCAGGCTACGAGGTGGGCGTGTCAGGGGCGTGGTCTTCACCCGGGGCGGCAGGGGCATGGGCCGGGCCCTCGGAGCCAGAGGTGGCGTCAGCAGAGGGGGTGCTGCAGTGCGGGCCAAAGGGCGTGGAGGACTTCGGGGAGCCAGGGGCGGTGCACAGATGGGACGAGGTGGACGAGGCGGACGAGGCATGGCCAGGGGACAGATGACGGGAAGAGGGCGGGGCATGCAGAGGGGCGGAAGAGGAGCCGTGAGAGGTGAGGGTCCAGTGAACCCTGCACCCCTTGTAAAAATAAATCTTTTGCCTGCTAGCCATATGTAGTAAATACCTTCTACTCGGTGTTCCATGGAAAACGTAGGACTCTCATCGGGAAGAATGTGTCATTTTTTTCATGTCCACAGAATCAGGTAGGCCTTCCAGGAGTATGTGGTTGCTCGGTGCTGTAATGATGCTTGGGTCAATTTCTCATGACAAAAATTGAAGTGGTGAATAGGGTTAACTAGATGGGGTTATTAAGGTTTGGCAATATCATATACACATAGGCATCTTTTGATGTATCAAGTTTTTCTGCTCACGTGGAAAAGCTCTCCTGTGCTTTTGTCGCCATGTTCGTGGTTTGGCAACGTCAACCGGGGTTGACCCTGTTATTACTCTGCATTTTCTTTTGGTAGGCTTCAGAGGTCGAGGAGCAGGCCAGCTTCAGGTCAGGGGAGGCCGAGGACGAGGTCTTGGACGAGGGCGGGGCCGTGGGCGTGGTCGGGGACGTGGCCGCGGGGCAGCCGCACCTGCCCAGCTGAATAAGGAGGATCTGGACAACCAGCTGGACGATTACATGTCCAAGACAAAGTCAGGACTGGATGCCGAGCTGGATGCCTACATGGCGGAGGCCGACATGGAATGAGCGAAGCCCCCACTGGAGGGCTTTTCACCTCTCGACTTCATCTCCTCCTCTAGCTTTAAGGAGTCATTTTCAAAATTCAGTCTTCTGAGATGGGACTGCCCCTTCTCAAAGCAGCTCTATTTTCTGCATTCAAAAACATCTAATTATGGAATATGAAAATAAGGGGTCCTTTTTTCGGGAGGGGGTTATAAGTAAGAATGGTTGAGCTTGAGATGTTTGAGATGGAGATGAGTCAGAGATTTGAACAGGAGCCCTGGTTAAATCTGCACTGCAGCCATTTTTGTAAGTTTTTTGGCAAAATAGAGCCACTGGATTATAAGTGTAGATAACATGTACACATGTATAGCTCTTTAGTGGTCATGTGAGCCTAAGGCTGTGTTCAGTTTTGTTTGTCAAGGGATTGGGTGATTTTATAAAAGCATGCATTTGCTAACAGAAGCCCAATTTCAAAACAGTCTTGCAGGCTCCTGGGACAAAGATTACTGGACAGATGTGGCTCGACAGTGATTTAGGTCCACGGTTAGTTGAATAAGTCAGAAAATCTGTGACCTGGTACTCCCAAACTAGCTCAAAGTTGGTAGCGTCCGATTCGTAAATCTTACAAGGTTAGTAGCACATTCAGCTTTTAGGAAAATTCTTCCGGCAATTGAAAGATACTGGAACGAGTGAATGAAATGTGAATATAATGGGTACCATTACCTGACCATCTGCAGAAGAGGGAACCCAGTGTTTCAAATGTTAGGTTGAAATCTGCAGGGTTCATGTCAAAGGTTTACAGGTTACGTTACACTTTGCATTGCATGGAGCAAACTGGTCTTCTCATCTGCAGGCACAAGCGCCATCATACACATCACTGCGCTTGGATTAAAGAGGTATCCCGCTCTGACTAGAGGTGTTCCTTTGCTGGCAGAGGAGAGGCAGGGTGGTGGGCAAAATTTGAGCTTGGCGCGCGACACGGTTAAAGACAATGTTTCAACAGTGCGTCCAATGCTAAATGTACATTTACCTCTTTTTTTTCCCATCAAAGGAAGGTCATTCCATTTTAGAAACGTGCTATCTCTTATTCCTTCAAAGGTAGTGTCATGTGAAGTTGAAAATTTTATTAAAACAATAATGACATCTTGAGAGTTTAGTCTCTGCTAGCTTTAGCCTGGCTTGGGGGTCGCAGGTCGCACATGTCTTCAGAGGTAGAAGTGTAACAGGGAAGATGGTTAAAATGGTTTGGTATTGCCAACCGGCATTTTATGCCATTTGTCTTTTGTTTACCAAGATCACTTCTTTCTGTCAGGGTTCATTATGAGGTACATGTTGCTGCAAGGTCTAAGTGAAATAGCTTTGCAAAAGTATGCTTCCAATGCTCCATAGTTATGTTAATATACCAAAGTACCACGAAAGTGCTCAGTCATTCTTTGAATAAATCATAAGCAGTATTGCAGTTGAATCCATTTCAAGTCTACATAAGTCCATTCAGATGAGCTGAACAAGGCATTTCTTGCTGTTAGTTCCCGGTTACATTTGACCTGTTTTTTTTAAAGTTTCCCATGTACTTGTGGCCAGTGTTGTAGTTCAGTGCATCACAAGTCCAGTCAGTCTTTTTTACAAGTCCTAAAGTAACAAGATGTTCAAGAACAAGACTGCTTCCGTCACAGTGCATTTGAACAGTTTGTAACTTGAGACTGAATGACCTGTGATGAACTTGTGGTTAACTTGACACCTAGTCTTGTAAAGTCAGGCTATATAATTGGACACTAGCCCTTGAATTTAGGATTCGAAATCGTCTTCCTACCAAAGTGTTGAATACAGCATATACATTTACTTGTATTTTGATCTGACCAGAGAAATGTAAGTGACTGTTTTTTTCCTTGTTCAGCCTCCAGAAATGCCTGAAAAGAAGCTTTCTGTCCCAGCACTGGACATGAAACTTATACCTTATGGAAATTTTAAAGACTTTTTTCTACAGCATGTTGTCTACAGTTTAACAGGAATCTGATTTGTAAGTTAATTGTTTAAGATCTCTCAAAAACCTATCCTATTTGTTCTTCCCATTCTGTTAGAATTTGCTTTTAATGTACATAACTTTCCTTCATTTTAAGTGCATGTTTTTGTATCTGTGATTTAAATGTGCAATAGTCATGCACTGTTCCACATACACGTGTTTTGTCTGTCACAGAAGTGGCTTTTCAAATTTCTTTGAACATTTTTGGTTCAAGCCTTCTTTTAGTTTCCTTGGCTCATATGCTTTATGTTCTTGATATTGCTCACCAGCATTACCAGGTGCTGTCATTAACCATGGGCCAACAACAGAAATTTAGGGAAATGTTGCGTAAGAAGTGTACATTGTACAAAGAAAATGGAAAAGGGAGTGATTTCCTTGGTGGATTGAACACTGTTGCCAAAAGTGGTCAAGTGAAATTACTAGAAGGATTAGCTAGCACTGTTTTAATTGAAATAAAAAAGTTGCTGTTTCAGTAACTTCACACGGTTATTTTCTGTTGATTATTTTGAGCTGAAATTAAAAATGAGCAGTGTTCGACCATGCTTTGGACACCCTTAAATTATTGCAACGATTGTGCTGCATCAAGCCGTAACTGAACACGTGACAATTGCTGGTGGTATTTTGGGAAAATTGTTCTGATGACGTAGAGTAAAATGTTGCAACCGAACCGCTGGCACATTGTGTGTCTAGCCACCAACCTAATTATAAGTGTGCTGCGTTTCCACGCATTGGCACGAAACCCATAAATCACAGTTCAACTACCTAGCTCGACCTACGCCGTGCCGGCCAGCCAGCTATGACAGGGTTTTTCCACTGCCCTACAACGAACGTAACGTAAGCCAGCCACATTAGGGGCGTTAATGGTCTGCGCCGAGTTGTTTTATCTGGTTTCTATGAAGTGCAGACAGCAGGCCGCGTGCACTGTACGTGTCTTTACATATGCAGCAAGGTATGAGACGGAGAGAACCCCCCCCGCTTTGTATTTGTTGGTCATTGTCTCGCAGGAATCTGGGGAATTCCTTTCAGACATCTTGGGGGATGTGTTAACTAACAACAGTCTGGAATGTGTATAGGGATTAGACATGTTGGGGGGGGGGGTACCCCTCGGTCTCATTTCTTGCTGGGTATATGTCTCCATCTGAAAAGGTACACATGAACTGGAGATGCGATGGTACTATTTTTATCTGCAATTTCTTTGGTGAAACTGCCCCAACATTTTTGAAATACATGTAGAATTTTTGTCTTATTCCCTCCCCCATGGACCCACCTCTTTTATTTACTACCTCTAGAATGCTAAAAAAAATATCGAAATTTAAGAATATGTTACAACATTGAGGCGCCTTACACTTTGAATGCACTAGCTCAATGTTATTTGAGCCCTCGTAAATGAAAGCTCAATGTTTGAAATTCAACTTCGCCATTTCATCATCGCCTTGCTTATGTGATGTCATGCGAACTGTACTCACAGTCGGGTTCCCTGTATGCGTTATCTGCGTATTGCGTTTATGCATATGACCTTGGAACGAGACCGATATAAGTAAGCAATCGGGACTGCTATTTCCTAGAACTGCCTAAAACCAAACCATTAAAGTTGCAGTGAATTTTGTTCATGTTTTAGCAAATACGAACATGTTAACAGTGACTGCAAAACAGGCGTCTTTATGTGCGAACAATCTGATTCACGTCTGGCCACGTAGTTTTAGCGTCGCCGTTCGTGCCCTGAATGACTCTATCACAGGAAGACCGCTTGGACTGCGTGACCCTTCACCGTGTCAGGCAGCGGGGGCCTGCCGTCCATACTCGCTGATCACAGGCGGGCTGTCGAGGCCATGCACGGCAAAATTGACCTCTACCCGTACTGCTGGTAAAAATATTCTCGCTCAGCCTTTCAACTTATCATCAAGCTCCACATTGAAACAGAGGGTCAGTATGACTATGAGCTTAACTTACATGTAGTTTTATAATGAAACTTACATGTATGAATGTATTTGCAGCAGCGTACGCGTATCCAGCTTTTGTACTGGGGGAATTCAAAAACTTGGGGAATGCCAAATGCCTCATGGTCCCGACATCCTTGCTTTTATTTCGTGGTGTTGTTAAATGTATTTGATAAATAAATATAAAAAAGTGAAAACATAATGTATAATTTATAATAGATCCGGATCCATGCAGGTATCACGTCTTAACACCTTGTGCACACACATAAAAAAAATCTGTTTTCAGAGTAAATGCTTCAATTTTTTACCAGGTAAATTTGGCTTTTTAGGACATGTTATCACTTTCTAGTCTTCTAGGGGCTGATCACTACAAATAAACCACTGCAATGGAAAATATGTGATGTCCGTATATTTGTGAGATTGAAGCCCTTGCATCAACACTGTAGCCCATGTTGTGAGCCATGTGCTCTTGTGGCGGACAGACAGCCTTGCCTCTTGTCAGAGCTCGTATTGTGCACTCAGCGTCTGCAGCCAGCATTTTCAAAAAGGGGAGGGGGGCACTCAAATCTGGACAGACAAACCACAACTAATTGAGAGCAGATTAACAAAGGAAGAAGAATAGGCGCAAGGTAAAACCAGAATTGGCGTAGAGAGCGAATAGTACAAAGTTTGCAAGGAACTACATGTGGGAAGGGGGTTCTATAAAGTTGTGACCAGAGGATTGTTACCACGTGGTGGAATAGGGATACTGTTGAGCAGAGTCAATTTGCATGAGGTCAAATTTACAAATGTAGCTTTTACAATTTCACTGGATTTTGGTCTTTATAATGCTTGTATTGTTTTTCAAATGATTTACAACGGAAGGTGGTTTTTATGTCAGCGGAAGCTGCATATTTTGAAAAATTCAATTGAGAAAAATTGAGTATATGTACCTAATTAAAATGTCATCCTTCTTGAATAAACTTTTTATTTGTACAGTTTGTAAGCACCACCTCCCCACAGGATGAAACAGCTGGAGATAGTACGAAGCAAAAACCAAAGCTGGCTCCACACTTCAGGTAAATATTTCAAGACAAGGAAAGGTGGCCCACCCCTCCCCCGTCACCCTTCCCTCTAATGACCCTCATACACCCATCTGCACTCACTCCACCATGACCACCAAGCAACCTGCTGCTAAAAAATTCAACAGGATGCTAGTCTTGACCCAAGACGTTACCGATTGTCATTTATTCCTTGGGCAGATCAATGTTCGACTTAGCAGTCGTGTGTTCCCATTGTATTGTGGGATACTTCCCCAAGTAACCGGCTCAGTCACTAGGTTACTTGAGCCAGTCCCAAATAAGCATGAGAAGTTACATTACAGTCAAATCCGTTCGAAGTAAGAATCCAATTGAATTTTTACTTTGCCTAAAACAGGTATGGGGGTTAGGGTGTGTGAACAAACATGTTTGTTTAGATTACTACCATAACATGGAAACAGATTGCAAAAAAGAAAGATGCCTTTGCCATCTCAACGACCTTTCATGGTGTAATGTTTTAAATTTGCATGTATACATTGTAAATTGTAAATAAGTCAAAATATGTCGCGAATTGAAAAAAAATACTAACAGAAACAAAAGCACTCAGACTAGCCGGAAAAACTTTTTTTACTTTGCCTGATATAGGGTTTGGGGGTTAGTGTAGCAACATGCATGTTGGAATTACTACTATGACTTGGGAAGGAACTGAAAAAGACAGAAGATGAGAATTCTTCTCAAGTTGGTGGGAAATTCTAGACAGGGGGTCAGCCGCGTCAAAAGGTTTTTTCCTTGTGAGGTGGCTCCTGTTAAAATTAGTACTTTTCATTTTGTGTGTGTTGCAGAATTTCATCGGGTAAAACTTCTGCAGGTGACATCCCGCACCCTAAGGCAACAACGGATGAAGATGAGAATGGGGAAGACAGTAGGCGGTATCTTCTGCCTCACCCAATATGGTGAGTGACCATCGAAGAGTAACCAGAAGGCTAACACTGGTAACATAGCAGGAATAATTTAAAAAAAGATACCCTGCTCAAGAACACCACTTTGTTTAGTTTCTAGTTAGGAGCTTAATACACCTGGGTAATTCCAGAAATTAGGGGGTCCCTTTTTTTCGTGCCCCATCACATTCGACATATGATTTTGTAAGTTCAGAACACATTTTTTAATTTCCAGGAGTGATGCATCAATGTACAATGTAAAGTACCTGCTAAACAATAAGTTCAAATCAATTCCGGTGATATTTCCATGTCAAATAACAAAGGTCAGATGTAACAGGGACACAAAAATGTCACACTTTTTGACCCCTAAGTTCTGGAATTACACACCACTACTTAAACACCAGCAGGCTTAATGCTTAAGTAGAAGACTTTTACCAGTTGTATTTTTGCAGGCAATTAGAAACAGAATGAAAGTTGCATACGGTGAGCAAGGCTCACAAGCGGTGGAAGTAGACTGTGGATGTCAATCTCTACCCGAAGCCACCCGCACCCCCCTCCCTTGGCATATGGGGCCCCTATACCCGAACCCAAGGTTTCCCTCCAATTCCAGGATCCAACACCTTCTTGCAACACCGCACACGCCGAGTCACACGACTCGCAAATCCTGTTCCACGCTCCACTGCTTCTGGATTACCTTTTTAACCAGCTATCCACTCCAATCCAGCACACTCTCCTGAGGACGGCCAGAGCACACTGGTCGAAATGTCAAGTTTATACTCACCAGTTCTTTTAAGAACCACACCTCGTCCAAAGAGATTGATTCCATGGTGTACCCGCAAACCCATTTCTCCTGATGTAATCTCGATCAGTGATCCCAAAGCTGGTTCCCGCTATCTGTTAGGCAGATTCTGGTTTCAGTGAATCAGCTTTGGATCCCTGATCACAATCCAGATCCACGTGAAACAAACAGGCCCTTAGATTTTATTGGCTACTGTGTGAGCTGTAACAATCTTCCTTTCATTCACTCTGATTGACTAGGTTCTCATCCCACATCGAAACTTTTGATGTACATGTATTTTTGTAGAATCCATTACCTTTTGAGGGGATTAAAACTCTGTGTACCTTGGGTTTAAGAAAGTAATGCTGCCTGGTTGATATATTTAGAGATACATGTATACATGTGTAGATGAGATATATGGCCGTATCCATAGATACATTTTGTGCCTTCTATATGACCCAAGTTTCCATTGGCTTACTATCAGTGCTCTAATCAATACTGATACATTTATGTACATGTAGATACAGAGGGATTGTAACTTTTATCAGTTTATGAAGGATCCATCTTTGTTCATGTCATGTTACAGGTCAGACAAAGAACTTCACAGTGTGGAGATAACACACAAACCACCACAGGGCTTTGTTGATTGGGTAAGTCCAAGTGTACAGTTTGCATATGTATATACTCTTCAGTGTGTGAAAACTGTTTTGAAAAATCCTTTTGAAGTTAAGCGTTCTGAAAAGTGCACTTTTTCAAATCTAAAATAAAAAATTGTCCAAGGCTTTCTGGACTTGTGGAGGCACTGTTGCTGCGATGTAAATCGGGGAGGACACTGCTCAGTTTACATGTTTGTGATCAACCCCATGTTTGCTCTTTGGGATCATTTCTGAGAGAGGATTACTCTCTGACTTATTGCCCTATATTTACACGCGCAAAAATTGCCAAAGAAACGGAAATTTACTGCAGCTAAGTGTGAATATTCCAGCAGTTTTTGCGCACAGATCAGTGCAACATTCAGGTTCAAGGCCTTGGATGATGTCAGTTTTGCTCATTGCAGGAGCAAAAACACCGAAGAGGCCCCCAAAATGTGATAGCAAAGCAAACATTGAAACAGAAGATTAATTGATACATGTATCTTTAAGACAGTGTTTTAGCTAGTGAGCAATCGATCATACATGTAATCAACCTCATTCCCATGGCAATTGTTAGCCGCTATACTGCGCCCACTCTCGCACGAGGAAGTCCATGGGGACTGGATCCTGGCCGTAACGGACTTCGTGCTGCTTGCTCGTGTTGCGTGCTTCAATTTTTTTGGACTCTAACAAGATTGCACTCCCTTTTTTTCATTTTGCACTCCAACTTTTCAAATCCTAGCTAAAACCCTGCTTTAATTAACCCTCCTATGGTTTTACAGCACAAATGTGCACAAATGCCCACAGTCACTGTGAGCATGTAGTTTCTATATGGAACCCAAACATGCACAGGTTCAGTGTGTACACAGTAGGTTGTCAGCACAAAATGACCCAGGGTCTTTTGTGCAGTCCATGTCACATGAAACAGT